AAATTTTGATTGCATTTTAATAAAAAAAAAAACAAAAATTGTTCGTTAAAAATATGATCACCGATAGGATACCCGTAGGGCAAGTTATAGTAATCGCAAAAAAATCGAAAATGAAAATTTTTATATATCTTTACGTTTCAGAGGTTTCTGAATATTTTGGCATACCTTAGAAAAAATGGATGTATGTATGTGTGTATGTGTGTTATTCGATTTGTATTGATAAGGAGACGTGCTGATTAGTTTTTGGCGAAGACAGGTCTAGCCATTTCGAAGATACGGGGCAAAGAGTGCCGAAAATGGTAACTCGGTTTTTAAGAGAACGGAGCGTCAGATTTTAATAATTCAAAAAACATTTCACTTTGCCATTGGGCGGTCAAAGATGATTATTAGACATATGCACATCAAATTATCAGATATTTTACAGAGATTTTAATAATAAGTGTTAATTTTGTTTACATTCCTATAGGCTCCGTACCAATGTTTATCCGTTAGACGGCGACGCGGCGCTAACGCGCTTTGACACATCGTCTCTATGCAGTTAAAGCAGTACGATTGCTTTGAAAAAATGTTCAGAATTTGCAAAATATGTCAAAATAAAGAAAACATTTTTTTTTCAAAAAAAGTAATTTTTTGTCAAATTTATAGTTTCTCAAAAATCTAATTTGTTCGAAGTAAATTTTTTTCAACAATGTTAATCTTTTTAAAAAAAAAATAATTTTTGGTACGGGAAGTTTCAGCAATTTGCCTTAAGGCACGATGCCATGCGCCCCACTAGTTTCCATTATTTTTATTGGATAACTATTTGTTACAACCATTTGTAACTGTTCAATATAGTAATATAGTAGTAACATAGTAGCTACCCCCATACGATGGTATGGAATGGTAGCGAGCACTTAGGAAAGATTTTCCACAAGTTGTAAGAAATTGCATAATTTTTGGGCCCGGCATAATTGCAATTATGGAAAAATTCTGTAACCATCTATCACATAATCCAAAAATGTTATCAGTATTATAAACAATAAAATTAATTCAGTTATTGATGAATTATTTATGTTTATACGCTAAATTACTTTCCAATTCGTCCTTTTGCTACGAACAAGTATCGTTACCTAGACGTTTTGATTGGTACGAGATCATACTCATTAGCCTGAAATTTATGCCTAATAATTTGTTTAGCAATTAATTGTTAATTAGAGTTGTGGGTGTTGGCTGATCAGCAACCCGAGCGCTTTAGCTCTCCGCAGTATTTGAGCATGGAAACCAGGGCCAACAGCGTTGGTAATAGTTTCCCAGAATAGATACACCGCTCCGGTATTTGTGTAGGAGGTAGCCAATATGTTTTTAGCAAACTTCTAGCTAACAGTTTATTTCGTGAAGCATTTTATAATCGCAGCTGATATTCGCTTCATTCAGTCACGATTTGTTTGGATATCAGTTTATTTTGAAACTGATAAACAATTATGCATGTATACATTGTAACAACATCATAAATTGAATTTATTTTGGATATTACTTATTTTGTTACCATTGTTTATTCTTCTCTCTCAAATGAAATGGTTTTAAGTAGTAAAATTTTTATTTCTTCATTAGAATGCATTTAATCTGGATTGTATGACTTATTATAGATACTCATGCAGGACTTTGCAATTTTTTTTTTGCTGATGTTGATAGCTGAATAATTGACGTCAACACATAATTAAAGTAAACACGTAATATATATTGAAACCAAATACCAATAAAGGTATAATTATTTCTGGCTTTTTTGGTACTTTTTGGAAATATATAAAATTGCAGATTTGGGAGAAACTTTTAAGATTAAACTATTTTTGCACTGACTACAAAATTATTCGCTTCAATTATTGGCGTTGGGACAGCAATACATAAGTGGTCGATATAGTATTAAAAATTGGCACTTTCAAAATTGCTATTACATATTTTCTTTTTAAGTAATGCTATAATTAAAGCCTAAAGCTTTAAAGCTTCACGCTTTAATTATAGAATTACTTAAAAAGAAATTAATAACAATTATGAAAGTGCCAATTGTTAATACTATATCGACCACTTATGTATTGCTTCAGTCTAAAAATTATGGATCAAAATATTGTTAATAGCGTCAGTTTTCGAACAACAAAATATTTTGATCTTGAAATATCATTTGGGGATACGCTGGGATATTATTAACTTTAGACGCTTCTACTCAGATCCAATTCGCAAAGAATTTTCTTCAAAACTCCCATCTGCTCCTTTTCTGAACACAACTGTGATCTGCTTAAATGCTAGCTACCAGGTTTCAGTAGTGGTTGTGGGAAATTTTCTAGTATTGGTTTAAGAGTTTCCTTGTATTTGTGGACCAGTCAAAGTATTGGTAAGAAAATTAGTGGTATTGGTGAAATTATTTGAATGTGGTAGTATTGATTTGTTGGTGTTGGTAAATTTTAACTTGGTGTTAGTGATAAGTGTAGTGGTGTGAGTGGATGTTTGTAATTTGTAGGCGGTTCTTATTTCACCAGGATCTTTGAGAGGGAAACCCGGGATATCCACGCCCATAGCCTAGGCTCGGTAAAATCTTGAAGCTCAACTTCTCGCAGTGCTGCCGCGTATCTATTCTCGCGAAGTCTTTTAAAGGCGCAAGGTAGGTTGGATATTTCTGGTGATTTTGTTAATGCAAAATTTGATTTTTTTGTTCCAAATTATTTAAAAATATTGTAAAAAGAAGGAGTGTTAACCTGCAGCAATTGGTCATTTAAGTGAGAGTGAAGAAAAATATCTATGTGCGCTGAGATTCAAATATTGAAGTGAAGATGATAATCATTTCTTTAGTGCAACTATAAAATCTAAATTCTTCTTCTCTAAAGTAAAAAAAATAATTTAGTTCTAAAAAAATGGGGTCGTCAAGATGATGTGATTCATATTTCAACGTGTGGCATTAAACAATTTGAAATCAAAAGTGTTTTCAAACAAATTAATT